TTTTAAAATCATAAAAACGGCATTATTCAAATCAAGTTTATGTAATCTATATCGGAAGCGAATAGGTTTCTGAAATTATAACTAATCGCACTAGACACATAATTATATAGTATAGAAACCTGTAGTGGCTGTAGTTAATGTTATTTTTTCTTACTGCATGTATTATGAGTATTTTGAGTCTACAGGGGTTCTATTATTTATGGATTTAATGTTTTGCCTTCATCTAAATCTATGCGTATAATATAATAAAAAAGCATAAAAAAAATTAGATGACATCGTATACTAATTATTAATTACCACACAACAAAAGTAAACACAACTTTAGATTGTAATAAACACAATATTCATTACATGATCGATAAAATAAAATGATCGTTGTGCCTACAGTTAACATCCATCAATGTATTATATATGTATGGTTTTTATGCATTTCAACKATAAAAAAATATCCTAATAATATATTCTTATCGTGTTTTATGTTAGAACACAAATATTACTCAGCCATCTTATATTATACAATACATATTATATGGTCATTTTCGACCGATGACGATTTGATTGCGATAAATAAACTGATAATGTATTTTATACATCAGACTAAAAACTTGGTAAATATCCAAAAATATTACTCATATTTTCTTCGTGTAGGTATTACATAGGTATGATTATGACGTGGTTAAAATGTTAAACAGTGCGTTTTTTCACTTTTATCCAAACACCATACTCGACATAATTGAATAAATAATTAAACGATTACGTTTATAGGTAGTTACTTATGAAAGTTTTGGTWTATATTCAATTATTAAATAATTTTATCATAAATTATTGACTGATTGTTTGTGTGACATGTGGTAGACTTTTTATATCAAAATAAACAATAACTGTGAGAATGAGAAAATATGTTTTTTTTTTATTAAAAACTTTCACTATACCTACATATTATTATAAGTCAGAAGATTTGATTGTGTCTATTATTAAAATTATATTTGTACCTGAATATTACGATAAATGCTTCCGGCGTTTTTTTTCTTTAAAAACAACCCCAGAAATATTCTTAAATAATTCAATAGAAGATGTCATGAATAATAATTTGTTTTCTACGTTGCTTGTTGGGTTACATTATAATAATCTCGTCGATTTTTATTCGCGTTCATTATTATAGAGCACTCAGCACCAATTTAATAACTGAAAACACTTCGTACAATAGAACAACTTCAAATCATAAAATAAATCTTATATGCTATTATAATTATTTAAAATATCAGTATATGCTTATAACATATTTTTATATATGACCATTGTCCTTTGAGTATTAAAATAATTCAAGTAGATGCCTAACTAACGCTGTGTATGTGAGTGTGTTTTAAGAGAAAYCATTTAAAAAGAAATCCCCGGAGTTAAAATATATTGTTTACTTCGGGATTGACCCGCCTTTTTTTTTTAATGAATTCTACATCACAGTCATATTATAAATTAAAACATGTTAGTACCTATCATAAAATATTATTAATTGAAGAATTCATAATAAATTGATGTTTGATAAATATATTTATATATAGTATATACGATACAATTTGTAAATTAGTGAAAATGAGATTTATGAATCAAGGTCTATAATATTTTTAATTTTTATTGTGTCAGGTACTTTTTTATTTTTCCTGTTAAAGCTGACATCAGAAGAGGCTYTATGTGAACAATACTATTCCTCTACTRTCATAGTTTATTAATGTTTATTATACACTATTATGACAAGTACCTATCTAGTATATAGTTGTCACCAGTTATWGATTTTTAAATAGGTACATGGTACCTATAAAGTATATATTATATAATTGCTAATTAGTGCCTAATATTAATATACTTATATTTTACTACCTAGTCTAATGGTAAAATTTGATTTCCGCTGTTTTAAAATAATTTTGCATTTTGCATTTCATAACTGAATAAATTTAAAAAGATTGGTAACTCAAAAATTAAAAAAAAAATCAATTATTTAGAAGGATRTAAATTATATCGTTATAATATAATAAGTATTTCTCACTAAGGAAGTAAGGYCAACCATAATTAATGCTATAGGTAAACAGTATTAAATGCAGAATAAGTAAATATTTTATTTATATATTATCCATACGCATTTATAATTTATATTCGTAATAAACCTAAACAATATGTTTATTTTTGATTGATTACTTATATGATTATAGGTTTTAGGTATAATTGCCTGTTATTTCTGMCTGTCTTTTTATTCATTAACTAGCCACAAAAATAAATATTTATCAACACGCATATGCATTTACATGTTGCTATTTGTTTTCTCAACATAAATATAAATATAAAATTATATGTTAAATAAACAAAATTTCATGTAGAAATTAATTAAACATTTTATTGCATTCATATTGTAGCGTTTGTGTTCACTTTTAAATTTTAAAGATTTTTTAAAACTATAACACTAATATCAATACTATATTATCTACTACTACACTAATATAAATATATATATAACAAAAATGACACGTTGTGCAGTAGTCTCATTCTCTTTTAACTGGACATTTTGGTACAAAGATAAGTGCGCAAAGGACGAGGATTGGAGAACGAACTTCCAGAAGCTATTCGAAGTGTCGACGACTACTCAATTTATTGAGGCCTACAATTTACTAAAACCGCCCTCTGGCTTACMATTAGGGGCYAGTTATTATTTTTTCAAAAAAGGAATACAGCCTATGTGGGAAGAAGAACCGAATAAAGGCGCGGGAGCTTGGGTCATTGAAGTTGAAAATCAGATAAATAATGATTTGAACTTGATTTGGTCAGATTTGTTGTTTGCACTCATTAGTGGCGGATTTAAAGAGTTGTCGTGTTATTTATGTGGCATCACATGTTATGCGAAACACAAAAAATTTCAAATCGTTACAATATGGACAGTCAGGACTACGTTGGAAAATTATAAATATATAATGAAGATTGGAAATATTCTGCAAATCCTCAAACTAAACGTTTACAAAATAAAATCATTAAAATATAAATTACATAACAGAATTTCAAATAATTTTGATTATGTATTATAAATGTTAACTATAATGTTAATTGTGTACTAAATACAAATATGTTTGGAGTTTATTTACACGCGTGACATGTTTAAGCTTTTATTTATTGAAATTAATTTCATTTTATTAATGAAACTACAAYTCACAGGAATTTTGTATCAATTAAAATTATTATGATTAATGTCAGTTTGTATAATTATACTCATATTGATTAGAAAGATTTAACTATCAATTTTAATATGTGTATGTAGTTTTATAACACTATTCATTATTAATATTTAATACCTAATAAAGAATTATTCTAGAGGATTAAACTTTTTTTTTCAAAGTATGAAAACACGTAATTTATAATACTTTATATTACCTATTATTTGTTATAGTTCTAAAGTCTTAAAGTTGAATGTACCTGCCTATTATAAATAAATAATTTGATATCGGATATCAATAAATATAATTWAACGTATAATATGTCATTTATAAAAGTTATATGAAGAACTTCAAACGTATTTTGAACAAAATGARTAAGATATAGAGAGAACAAAATATGTTATTATATTTTCAAACAACTTAAAATAAAACGATTTGATAAATTGCATTAGGTATAGTCATAAAATTACAAAAAAAATTTATCAGTATTCTTACGAATATTCTATAAAATTCTATACGAATTATAACATACATTTTTTTTTTAATGTAATTAATTTATTGTATATAATTTAAATTTGCGTGAATTTACTGGTTGTTATATACCTTATAAAAATATTATATGGTAGGCACCAGCGCGTTTAATTTTCCATGTTTCCGACTATGTATAACTTATCACCTTATGGCTTATTTGCAAATATCTCATATATAGGTGGACCGTGGGTTAATATAAATTTTATTCAATACAAACCTCTAGTTTAGAAAATTTTTTTTTATTATTAAAGAAATAACCCTCAACAACTTGGCCATTGGGATAAAATACTTTTTTTTTTGAAAGGTGTTACATAATAATAATAGAAAATGTTTAATAACAATAAATGTCTAAATTATATGAGTATAATATTATAGTAATATTGTGTTTTTCAAATGGTTAAATAAGTTTGTCCAATCCTGTCTCCTGGAGAAACACGAATATGTMAGGTGATTCAGTGATTGGAGAACAGGTCCAGTATGTCGTATAAATCGCTGGATAGATGATTGCGATTTCTTGCATCGAGGTATGCAAGACATTCCGTGAGAATGTATTTTATTGTTAGTTCGAACCCGCACGCCATACACGAGAGGGGCTCATCTCGAGACATTAGGTAGCCATGTGTTATTCTGGTGTGGCATATTCTTAGCCTGTTGATGATGGTTTCCTTTTTTCTATCAGGATGTTAGTTAGGCCAGTGAAGAACAGTTGATTTAATTTCATTAAGTTTTGTTTTTTGTTTTGCCCATGTATTTTGCTAAGCTTGTATTGATATGTGTTTTATCGTTCTTATGGTATCTTGAAAAGCGGTCAGCGGAGTGATGTCTAGAGAAGTTGAGGAAAAATAAATCTATTATTTCACTTAATAATGATAGGTAAGTAGGATATTGGGTGTCTTTAATTTTGTTTGGGATACAAAAAAGTTTAAGGACATTTTCTAGTTGTTATAATATGGTTGGCTCATTGCTCATTAAAGCCTGCAGTATGTTGTACTTTAGTTTACATTGTTCAAAAAAATACGGTCTGTATTTAATTAGTAAAAAAAATGATTCTTTTGTATGTATAATTTATATTTATATTTATAAGTATGCAGGATTTATATAGGAAACATATCTATATAAGTATACCTATATCTACGCTATTTTAATAATTGTCCATTAATAAAATGTTCACTAAACACAACTTCAAAACGATTTTTCAATCATATGCTTGTGACATATGCGTGTGCAGACCTTTTTGGCAGGGTGGGCCATGGCCCACCCCGTGCGCACGCCTATGGCTTGTGATAGATTCTAAACTAAATTAATTATAACGTCGAAAAAATTGGATGAAACTAATTAGTTGTTAATTTTTTTTATAGAACTGTTGCACAAACATCACATACAAAATGCATAGAAATTATTTGCTATTTTCACTCCTCGGTATCTTAGCCGTTGCGTGTGCCTTGMCGAACGATAGGAGGCCATTCGTTCGAGTCATCACTGAACCGAAACCGGGAGAAGAATATGTTAGCATTCACACTGCAATGCCTTCGTCAGCCATCCAAGGCAAACCTTTGGGTATGAAATAGTCRATTTTTGAACTTTTTWAAAAAAAAAACACAAAACTCGTATTTGAAAACGATTAAAATATTATACTATACCGACATTTTCATTACAGAGAGCGATATGGACGTGAAAATCCTTGATGAAGGACAAACGGGCATAAAAGAAGTCGAAGGTTCCGTGCCAATGGAAGAAAAAATTTACGCGGTACGTACCTATTACCGATAAACGTACTCGGAGATGAATACATTTCTTAAAATATACGCTCACCACAGGACACGTGGGTCATAAAAATAATCGTCATAATATCACGGGTCAGCAATTAGATAATAAAAGAAAATATTATTATGTTTGCCGCGTAATGATTTTATGTAACGATATTATTATTGCAGCAAATTGCAAGCTTATTTTTACACAGATCTCTARGGAACATCTTGTCAGTGTTACGTACACGCAGCAAACCATTAATAGTGTTATAAAGGTCTACCTATGATTACATCTAAGTATTCAACCTAACGGCTATCACACTATCATCGTATAWTATATTATAAATATAAATAAAGTTCACATTTGTTTCGAAATTGATGTTTCATTGTTTGGCGTAAAATTAATTTTGCGGTTCACGTGTTGAGAATATTATAGGTATTTACGAGTCARTTTTGAGTATAAAATTATAAATATTCACTTTTTTATTAAATACAAAAATTAAATGTGGAAATCTAGTAAAAATTATACCAAATAGGCATAATGTTATAATCATAAATTATAAAATGACGATGAGAAACTATTGATTTGACAATTTGTGTTGTTTTGTGTCTGAAAACACTGTTTTCCAGTGGTAAAAATACTTTAACTTTGAGGGTGGTTAATGGAAGAAACTTTGCTCTAATTGTTGACTTGTGTGTTAATCGTAGAAAATTCGCAATATTTTAAAATTATTGTGATACATAATTAAAATATATAATATATATATGTAAATAAACTTATATGAATATAAGTACCTACTATGCGTTTCTTATATAGCATAAAAAATTGTACCCATCTAACGAAGACGGACAAAAGAGATCAAAGGCGGAAAAAAAATATGCTGCGCCAATTGATACAGATGATATTTCTCCAGACAGCTTTGTCACAAAGCCAAACAAATCAAAGTAAGTCGATCGAATATCCGTACCAATATTGTTTATTAAAGCATATGTTGTTAGGAATAAAAGGGAAGAAGATACTCGGAGCCCTTCTAACAAAGAAGACGATGGCTTGTTCGACTTCGTGGACTCCCCGTACGGRAACCAACAAATAGTTGGTTCAGCTTCTTCTCAGGCGTCCCGGGTAAATATYAAAAAAGCACCTAATGGCCAAGAATATGAATACGAGTACGTCTATTATTATTACGACGAAGATGAAGAACACGCAAAACCCGGTTCCAAAAGTAATTATTACAATATACCTAATGTATAGGTAAACTACACTTTTTGATCTCTCAAAGCTAAAACAATATTTGTTTTAAATTACAGCTAGTCAGAGCACATCAAATTCGCCACCAACCAGTTYAAAACCCAACAAGGATGTCAAAGAAAACAACAGCAAATCTAAAAAACCTGCAGTTGTACAAGATGAAAATCAATTTGTACAAAATACCAGCAAGRGCAGGTTGGTGTCAATCATTCACTATTTTAAAATACAATACATTTGTTGTACCTACCAAATTTATTTTAAATAATTTTATTATTGTCAAAAAGATATACACACAACACCCTTAAAATGTTAGCAATCTAGAGTATTTTATTTTCAATTTAGGCATTTTGATTAAATATTATCAGGGAATTATATTTCAAATGCAGTCTTATCAAGTTAGATACTATTTTTTTTTTAAATTTAAATAAATAAGCCTTGGCATCTAAGGCCATTGGCATACAAGGAGTTTAAAGTTAACAATTTTTAAGGATACAGTATTTATATATTATATAAACAAGAATAGATTATAAACTATTTATAAGAAAAGATAGGTCATCATGTGACTAATGGTATCTGGATGGAGAGCTTCCGAGTTCCCGACATAATATTTGATACCCCACAAGTTACTATTATTGTGGTTTGTAAATTGCAAATTATTATGAATTATATCAAATTTACATTTAGTTGATTTATGACTAAAAACAATGACCATTGTAAATTGCAATGTTTGGAATAGGATTATTAGACTAAAATAAAATTCTGTACTTTTTTTTTATCAAAGATGGGTAATGTTTTAAGATGAGCCTTTAAATAAAAACATGTTCATCAGYTATATTTAAGCCTTAAGTAGGTACCTAAAACTAGATGGTTGAATATGTTTTGTATTTTTTTAAATAGAATCTATTTTTTTTATCTTTTTGGCAGTATTTATAGATACAATTAAATACATTTAGATGTTAGCTTAAAATATCTGACTAATAAAATACAAATTCAGATCATAAAAACACTATTAAGAGTTAACTAAAGAATAGTCAAGTGACACAAGTATTCAAGTCTTTTTTAAATTTTAAATTTACATCTGAAATAATATTTAATATAATACAAATTTTAGGTTTTCTGCAGTAGAACATACTGTTACTACAGAAGAACCTGAAGGACATGTCAATTTTGCAGTTAATGATATAGCTGAACACAATAGTAAAACAAAGTGAGTACTTATAATCATTACAAAATGTACAGTACTAGGTATGTAATAAATTAATAACAAAATATTTATAGATTCCTACTCAATCCCGCAGTATAATCAAATAATTTGGGATTATAAATTTTGCCATTTTTATCTAATGTATAGTGAAACCATTTTCCTTTGACTTTCAGTGGTATACTTTGACCACTCGAATTTCTCCCAACGGCACAGCTAACCTGAAACAATTTATAGAATTTTAAAGTACATAAAAGAGAAACAATGGTATACAAAAAAAAAAAATTTAATACTTTGATTGGAAATACATAAAAAAATAACTATTACATTTAAAACTGTAAGCAAGACATAATATGTTAAGAGTCATTGGATTCCTAATAGTAAAGAAAAAAAAATTATATTAGAAAAGTGCTAGACAGAAAATAAGTGACAAGCATCTGATAAGGGATAAAAATCAACCATTGGCTGTAGTAGAGATTGGATATTATTTTATTCCAAATAAATAACGTTACTATTGAAAAATTTACTTACTGTTTCAAGAGGTACGGTTGTTGTTATATTTCGATTGAAAAAACCAAAAGATGTTATACTCAAACGATCGCCTCCTTTACATAAAACCAACATTTTTACAGATTTCATTGTGTAGACAGAGCATATAGCTATTAAAGTTGTACCTTTAAACATGTCAACATTTTAATGTTATAAGTTTTAATTTTCTAAGAATTTAATTAATTTATAATCCATTTCTTACCCATACATAAACAGGCGATGGGAATGCCAAGTGTTGCTATTTTTCCTTGAGATTTGATTTTATCTATCCATGATATTGGCTGATGATTTGCATTATTGTCAGGCTCTTTATTCAATAAGACATTGTAAGAATCTGCTACTGTAAKCCAAAAACCAAACTGAACTATAGAAAACACACTGATCATTTTATATGTTTTGTCGCTAGATGATTCGTATAACAGTACATCTTTTGGGACATTAGTATTTAAATTAAATATTGATTGTTCATTGAAATATCTCTTATTGAAACATTTAAATTTGTCCGATTGATTTTTGTTTAACTTGTAAAAAGTATTGAACGCCCGATTGAATGTGACACATCGTAGACAAGGTAAACAATTTAATATTCGTTGGAACATCATTAGAATTTGAAGTTAATAAATTAATAGTGACTCCGCGATATTATGTATCGAATACAAAATACAGATCACAATTCACAAACTTTAATAGAAAACACGCAGATGTAGTAATATAAACTTTTTATTTAGCTAAGCTTATCACTGATAACAGTGAAACGTTAACACATGCCTTTCTTATCACTTTCGAATGTTAAAACCATGTTAACAATGTTAGTACCATGGTTAAAGATATAACAGGTCCACACAACAAGGCGTCTCGAAAGTCGAAGGTCGTTTAGTGCTATTCGTTGATGTTAAATACAAATTGAATGCTAATTATTAACATAAAGAATAAAATACATACGCAAACTGAATAAAATATTTTAGCTTATTAATATAATCAGTGATATGTTGATATAGTTAAGTACGAAGTACCTAAGAAATATTGTAAGTTTGATTAAAATTAAAAATCTTATGCGTTCAAGTAGCCATGCTCCTTCTGACTATGGGGTCCGAGCCATGTCATCGACAACATTTTTTTGGAATCTGATTGAAACGAAAAAGCTAGTTTTTTACAATGACGATTTTTTTTTTTTGACTTTATGGATTATGCAATATAATGTAGGTAATAGTCTCTAATAATGGTTTTTATAGTTTTTTTTTTTTTTTTTAACTCTTTATACAGAGAGCACCGGTCCATCAACATTTCGAACATTATTTTTTTTATTTATGGGGGGGGGGGGTACCTAACCAGTAGTTAGGGGTGTTAAAAAATTTAAAAACAACAATTTGAATTATCGAATTTATTAGGAAAAATGTAGGTAAGTAATAATATGAGCACGCTTGGTGAATTATTGCGTTCATCATCACAATAACACAATGCATAATTCTATATATTTTCAACAACTTATTTTAAGCTAGTGTTAGACGTTAGTATAAATTATACTGTATAATGTATATAGGTACTTATCGAATTATATATAGAATATATTATATTTGAACACATTTTGTTTAGGGAATCTGGACGTAATCTTGAAGAAGCTCTATCAGTTCCGTCATCTTCGCTGCCGGTTTCCGAAGAGCGTCTTCCACATAATCCTAGATTCCCTGTCCGATCTCGTGGCAACTCAAAACCTGCTCAGGAAATTGCCACAACAGCTGCACCAGTTACAGATACCCCAATTACTCGGATTCGGGCGAATAATAACGGTAAAAATTGTTTTGTATTTAATTCTTGAATTATATTATCTTTAACGATACCGTCTAATGTACAAAGGCCCACACCAACCAGGTCTGGATTTGGTGGAYAGCAACGTTTTTAGAACTCATTCTACCAATGGTCAACATGCGCAGGTTACTTCGCCGAGACATGAAAGTCACAGAGGTAAAACATACATTTGATATCTGGCTACTGACTAATAATAATTTATTAATGAAAAAATATTATCCTATAGTATTTAACAGAAAATAGAAAAGTAATTTGTAAATATTTAGATACGTAGATTGCTATAAAATATTACGTATCTACTACAACTACACAGTAGTACAGTATTTACCTGGGTTATAGTAAATTATGTGGAAATTATTTTCGTTTAAGGTTAATTTAGTGGACGAAGGGTTAATTGACCAAAGCAATATTTGATTTATTTTTATGTGATATATATATATAACGGGCGTTGAAGGGTAATTCAGTTTATACTATTACACTGCATAATATATGGGCRTATTTCTAAAAACTAATATAATATTTATACTTTTGTACAGAACAAAATAATTGTAGAATTTTAATAGTTATTAAATTAYCATGTATACGTGTGTAAATGAGAATTTGAGAGTGTGTGTGAGATGTTAACTAATCTCAAAGGCCAATTGGACATACCAAGACGAGGCGGCTGTGCGAGGTTAAAAATGGCAAAAATACATATTTTCAGATGCTGTGGTACAAACAACCGCGATGCCAGCAGATCAAGTAGCAACTATTAATAACGCTTATAACACTCAGCTGACAGAAACAATAGTATCTGTAACAGAGCCAGTTAGCTTAGATCGGAATCAAGACAATACCGATGTGGATACTAAGGGATTATCATTGACGACGGCATTAACCCCCGACGAGGTCGCCACGGTCGTCACCCAACGTTATACCCCAGGTTCGCGACGGACGTATGCTAATATCAGCTAATAATACTGAAACGAACGGGTTGGATGGCTTTTTAACCATGTATTTAAGGATACATTGCTTTAATTTTATTTTATGGCTTTTAAAATGCTTAAGTTAACAATACGAAATACGATGGTAGTGCTTCAATATGATTACTTGTGGGCCTTTATCTATATATTTTAACCGTATAGTTGATGAACGTGATATTAATATTTATATCGTTAAAATATGTATACACTTAACGATTATGAATAAAATTTAAAACTCGTAACTATTTTCAGCTTTTAGTCTAACGTCACATAATATATAGTATTTGGTACTTTTTATTATGTTATCATTATTAATTATAAAATTATTATTCAAGTATAGCTTGTATTTTATTGCCATCATTGCGATCGGCGTATTRAATACATTTGTTGTGCACGGGTACCAAGCCTCTTCACCGGTTCTTTCTTGGTCACGGGTGGGTGGTAACCACCAGTTAATTTATGAAATACATCAACATCAATAACACATAATAAAATTTTCAAAATCTACAAGATAGAGATAAAAAAAAATATTCATCTAAATTAAAAACAATATAATTTATGTGAAAAGATATTTGAATAATCTATTCAAATTATTATTGAATTAATATTATATTATATTAATTATATTATACTGATAGTTTTTAAAAATAATTTTTATGTTACTGGCATAACTTTTAATATTCTATTCATTAAATTATCATTATAATTTCKTACTTTTTAAATCACAATACTGTTTGTAATAGAAGTTTGAGATTTTTTGATATTACTTACCCTAAATATACCTATTACCTATTATACGAATATTAAAATTATTTATATTAATGTATAGTTGTTATTTTAAGTCCCACAGGGAATTTAAGTAAATATACCTTCCTATAATTTTAGTATTTAAAATAGAATTTTCTATTACACCGGGATCGTGTTTATACAAAAYAGATTAAATTGGGAATAAATTCTTATTTATGACTTTCATTAACCATCATCAATCATTAAATTATTTAAGAGGAAGTCACACTGAAATGTTTTGTTCTTATATTCATTAATATGATTTTGATTAATTTTAGTTTATAATATTAATTTAATGTCAACTGTTTTTTTTTTTTTACAAAACGTTGAAGCGTAACGTACCTAGTAGGTGTTTAATTATGCTGTTTACTATTTGGCTTATAGGTACCTACTACCTACCTATTGTATTTAACATAAATTAACACGAAAAATGTGACGTCCTCTTATATAATAATAACACGAAGTTCGATATTTATTTTATCGAATTTCGGTACGAAACTGCACATTGCATAATGATTTCCATAAAATATATTGAGTAAACAATCGAAATTACTATAGGATCGACGGACAAAGGCGCAGTAGACCTGTACGCCATTTTGCAGCAAACCCGTAGCGAAGAAACGGCCAATACGATATTGTCGAGTGAACATTCAACAAGGTTTGAAGACACTGAAACTCAGTACCCGACTACTTTAAGGCTGGCTCCAACTACGACTACAACTACCACAACACAAGCGCCGACAACAACGACAACAACAACCACCACTACCACCACTCAAGCACCGGCACCAGCACGCCAAGCTCCTGGATCCGGACCGGTGCGCAGCCGATACCGAGGTGGTTCCGTGGGTAGCAGGAACACCTTGACTTCGACCACTTCGACGACAACTGAGCTACCACCATCTGAAGAGGTCACAGAAAAACGTAAATTCAAACCTTCCCGAGAACGCAACACACAGGTAATGCGATGGCTTATTAATATTGTTAATGACAAACTTAACAATACTGTAATTGTGGTAGACAAGTATTGCAAGCACCTAACTGGGAATTATGACTAGCATCTCATATTTTTTGTCGTATAAAGCCGTTTGAAAAAATATTTGCTAAAATTAAAGGGTGATAAAACCGCAAATATCACTTTAACCGTCTCATGGTTGCTGGTAAACATTCTTATAAAGATTTCCATCAGAGTTTATTATTCGTATAACCATAAACTATATATATATATATATATATTAAAACTTCACTATTAACCAACCTATTTTCAAAAATTAATAGTTGTAGAATTGTTTTTTGTGTAGTAAATTAGCAAGTAAATAATGCTAACATCACAATAAAGCACAATGCAGTAATTTATTAATTATCAATGGGCTTAATGTGTAGATCTTACATAATATAGGTATATAACATTTATACGCATGCCGAGTGACTACATATTTTTGAGGTTTTTTAAATTATCATTTTATATTTTTTAGGGATCTGTTTACAGTAAGAGATATCAATCTTCTACAGCTGCTCTCGATAAAGAGACTTCCACTTCTGAAAGCGAAGTAGTAACAAAAGCACAAAGTAATTTACTACATCTATAGTATTATATATATTTTTCACAGTAGGCCTCTGAAAACTTTAATTACCATTTTTAAATATCATGATAATTGATAATACGCATATAGTGTTATTATAAATAAATRGCTAATTATTTGTATAAAATTATTATTTTAGAACCTTCATTTGGTCGACAAAGAACACGCGCAAGCAAACCCATATCTACAAGCACAGTTCAAATTGATGAAAATGTAGAGGTTACATCAGCAGCGCCAAAGCCCAACTTTGCAGAAAGGTATATACCATATTTTCTAAATAAATTATATTTTTAAAAGTTAGAACTTAAAAAAATAATAAATATATATTGTAGATCCAACTTAAGGAGACAGAATAGTAGAAATAAATTTACAACTTCCGCTTCAACAACTACAACAACAGCACCAGTACAACCAGTAACTGAAGAGAATGAAAGTAATGTTTCTGAACTTGAAGTTTCAGAGCCAACGACCACAACTGCTAAAGCTATTGCAGGGTATGTGACTTTGTTACTACAGTACCTAACATTGTTAAAAGTTTAATTATCTGTCCGTAATTTAAAACAAAACTGAGGAAATACAAAAGGATTATGATGTTAATTTGACAAAACAAAATTTTACCTATGTCTATTTATTAAAGATATGATATTACAGTTTAATTTAATTCAAATAAGTAAATATGATATAYTTCCTTATTTTAATTTTTCGTATCATKTAATGTGACAAGTCTTCTTTCAATCGGCTTAGACTTTGATTAACTACTTATCCTATCAATACTGTATATAAATACTATATAGTGTATAATATCGATAATTGACCCAGCAAAAATTATGCGTGCCGAAGCAGTAGTCTTGTTCTATCATTATAGATAAAGTAGTTTATCAAAATTGGTAAGGTTAGGCGTGAATTCTTAATAATACAGAAAAAAGTTAGATGCCTTACATATCTTGATTTGTTTTAAAAAAAATATAATATATATATAATATAGTAGGAATTATAATATGTATATCATAGTAAAATACTAAAATATAAATACCTACCGTAATATTACAGTATGATTGAGTAATATATTTATTTTTATTTTTTTAGAGGTAGACTGAGGCCAAATATTAGACCATTGAGACCAGGTTTGAGATTGAACTTTGGAGGAAAGGGATCATCAACAACAGCAGCTCCAGTATCATCAACAACTCAAGCACCTATCGTAGAAAGTTCATCAGATGAAGTAGAAGAAAAGGTTTGTATCTAATAAAAGTATTTTATTTTATTCGATACTCATATATAATTGAATGTCTGTTTATTTATCAGGAACTGGTACAWGAAACGAGCCCAACTCCAACACCTGACACACTTTCAAGACTTAAGAACAAATCTAGATTCAGAGTACCAGAAAAACAAGGTCCACCAGCACCAAAACAACAAACTCTAGCTCCTCCCGTTACTGGCCAAAATAGAAAGAATTTATTATCTAATTTGTTGCCCAAAAAGAAATCGATTCAAACTGAAGAGCCTCCAGTACTTGAGGATGTGAAACCAGTTTTAGAAAATGAACAGGAAAACGACCAAGGTGCAGAATTACAAAACGAAGAAGACATTGATCGACAACAACCATCGTCTACCACGACCAGCACAACTGAGGCACCTCCATCATCTACAAACAAATTATCATCTTTGTTAAAGAGAAGGCCACTGCAAAGAAGACCTGCAGTTGATCTACCTAGCAGACAATCAAATCAAGATGAATGATAAATCAAAATTAAATTAAAAAAACTATTGGATAAAATATGTGTATGAACCATATAGATACTAATTTTAAATGTATAAAATTTAGTATCCATTTCAGCTAATTATTTTAAGAAATAATTTTGTTCCCCTAAATATATCATTATTTTAAATTAATTTTATATTGTAATTTATGATTTTTG